AATATATAAATCATCAAAGGTACATATACAGTGTTTAAATACTGTATATGTACCTTTGATGATTTATATTATATTTATTCAACAGTGTTAACGGCTAACTCCCTTCAATATCATATATAATATATACAACAGTATTTCTAGCCGTATTGCTAGATTTATCTGGCCGAACGCCCTCTTGAGGCGTAGCATTGTGTAATACAATGTTCCCGACGGTTATTTGGACTTGTTCAACCATGAAGCCTTCGTAGTCTAGTGGTTTACTTTACATCATTATGCAATAAACTAAAAATACAAAGAGCAAAGAAAAAGTCACTAAATGCTAATCACCTATGTAGCTATGGAGCATTACATTGGAAGCCACAGTGGGCGAAAGAAAACTACTCCAGTCCACTGGAAAGTCGTCAGAGCATAGACCATCCAGAGATATTTCTTGATTGTATTTTTTTAGCCCACTCTCTGAGAGAGAGGGCTTATATGATGATTCTGAGCGAATTTTGAAGTTATTTGTTTTTCTATCTCTTCCTTCGTTTGTGACGCGATTAGGCCGATCTTGCAAAAATATGGATAAGGCGTGGGGAATTTAAAGTATGAAGAGTTTTTGCGAAAATATTGTCGGGAAATATGTGAAAAGTATGTTTTTTTATCATATTTCTTAACACTACGGTGGGTTTCCTATGAAAGCGTGTTCGTCATTGATCAGATTGCAAATCGCCTGATTCCACATTGTGTTTATCAACCAATGGTAAGCTTTGCAGCTAATAAATGCGTCTGCACGAGTCTAGTTGGCAGCGAAGAATGAGCCGTTTTGTGGTGCTTGCAAGGGTGGGTGGTCTCTCCCCTGAGAGATAAACAATGTACACTAGTGTAATGCAGGCTGGCCTAGAGCTAGAGGAAGACAAACTAGGCCTATAGGCTGGCTGGGTAGTATGTGTGTGTAATATATCAGATAACAGGAAATGTAGGCTACAAGTTGCTTTTATATGTATTAAACCACATAATATTCAAAAGAGTTAGTAGCGATGAGTGTATTTGTGCAGCAATTTTCGTGTCAATGTACTACTGTAATGCAGGCTGGCCTGACGAAGACGAATATGCTGACTGGGTACGTACGTGTGTGTAGGCATAGGCCCTAGTCTAGATCAGATACTACAGAAAATAAATGTAGGCTACAAGTTGCTTTTATGTGTATTAAACCACACATTCAAATCGGTCAGTAGCGATGAGTGTATGTACAGCACATTTCGTGTTGCCGCACTGTGGTGTGGTTGATGACGAGGACGTTGCCGTTAGATACATGATAGCAAGGTCCCACATGAAATTTTTGTTCTATTGAGACGGTAGCTTTTCAGCATTGCTCTAGGATGATTTTCCTTTACAATTATGAATTTTTTAGCTTTTCGTACTCTACACTTAGCTATCCGTAGCCAACCACATAGGCCTAGGTATGTAATATATTAGATCAGATGTTAATTACATAAAATGTAGGCTGACAGTCGTATTTAATGGGGGCGGAGTGGATTTCTTTTTTCGCGATTTACCATGGGATGGCAACTGTCATCGTTATCTAGACTTGTAGACGCCGTTGTCCATATGGTAATGGTGAAGATCGTTTGACTGATGAGGCATGATTAAAAGTGCCTTTTATTTTCAATGGATTACATTCCATTCCAACGATGGTATAACCAGTCAATGGATAGCCCAGTAATGAGATATTTTGTTTAGATTTTCACAGCGTGTTCCATGTACCTCCTCCATTTATTTAAAATTAAATTATTAAAA